GCCTGCCTGGGAAGCACAAGGTTGTGAGTTTGATCCCTGGTACCACAAAAACAAAACCAAAAAACCTAGGGCCATATACTATGCTATACAGTTTTACATAAATGTATAAAAAAGTACAGCATCGATCTTCAGAAAACCTATGCTGTAATGGGGAAAACTGAGATGTAGACAAATATAATAGGTGAAGCATCAGAGAGGTATGGTAATGCAGAATCCCAAACAAAGGCACCCCCAGCCTGGCCTGAGAACTTGGGAAAGGTTTCCTAGAATGGAAGATTCTTGATTTGAATCTTCTTACATGTCTTGAAGAAAGGTGGAAAGAGACTTTAGAGGAAGAACTGTGTGAAATAAATGCAAGGGAATTATAGATAGTTTGATAGCCAAACACTAACATCTGCTGAGGGCTGTTAGTATATGCTAGATATTTCTCATCCCCCTTCCTGTAATATTTCATATAATTCATGTGTTTAGAGAATAGCATATAACCTACTATCTGGGCAGAAATATTTGTGAAAAGAAAAGTAAAATAAATAAAATCCAAGAAGGAACCAAAGAAAACCAAAAAGATCAGACAGAAGAAAGAAGACTGGGGCCAAAACATGGGAGGGATTTGACTGCCTACCTATGCTATATCCAACTCAGTAGGTACAGTATTAGGAGCTAAAGAAAAATCTTTCATTTGGAGCAGTGGTATGCTGTGTTCAAGGCCACATTTCATAAACATTTTCTGGATATGGTACTGGCAAGATCACATGGAGTGGAGAGAATTATATTTATTATATATTTGGAGTTTTTTGTTTGTTTTTTGAGAAAGGGTCTCACTATGTAGTTCAGGTTAGCCTTGAACTCACTAGGTAGCCCAGGCTGGCCTCAAACTCGCAGCAACCCTACTGCCCCAGCCTCCTGAGTACTGGGATTACAAGTGTGTACACTGCACCTGTCTGGTGCTGGGGATCAAACCCAGGGCCTTGTACATGTTAGTACAATGAACGAACCTTGTGAAGAGGTTTGTAAGGTCTATCAGTCAGAAGCCAAAAGAATCTCCTACTGTCCTAATTCTCCAATGCCTCTATCATGCCTTTTGGAAGCTTTGGTCCTTTATAAACTTTCTTCTATCTTTTATCTCTGTAGAGAATGCATTTATGCATTCACTTCTCCTCACTTCTTTGAGTCTCCCTGAGCAGAGGACACTGGTGCCACTGGACTGGAGCTTACCTAGATATGTGTAAGCCACTCCTTGCTGCCCCCATGCAAACCTACCCCAAAGCCTGGAAATCACTTAAACTTTTCTATTTCAATAAATACATTTAATCAGTCACTGAGTTTTTTTTTATTGTTGTTTTGGGTGTTTTTTTTGGTACCAGGAATCAGACTCAGGACCTTGCGCTTGCCAGGCAGGTGCTGTGCCACTGAGCCATATGCCCAGCATTGAGTGTTGTTAAAAATCCTGCCTTGTTATTCTTTCCCATAACAGTTATTTTCATTTCCGGGGCAGAAGGGGCTGCGCTGGGCCTTGCACATGTAGGCAAGTGCTCTACCTCTGACCTGTACTCCCAGCTGTAATGCTTTAATTTAGCATTTCATTATCTTTTGCATAAAATATTGAATTTTTATTTAAAAACTTTCAAACATACATGAGAATAATGGACCAAAACTTCCATTATTCCATAGAGAATAATGAACTCCACATATCCATCATCTAGCTTTGATCATCATTAATTTTTTTGCCATGGTTACTTCATCGACTTTCTGTAAAGGTTTTAAGGCAGGCCAGACATCGTACTGTCCTGCCCACCAACACTTCAGGACGCTGTTTTATTATGCTACTACAATAGCGTCATCGCACCCAAGCAAATTAACACTAACTCTTTATTGTCATCTAATTCTCAGTCTTCTAAAGATTCTTTTCATAGTTGATCTGTTTTGATCAGGCTCCAAGCAAGACTCTCACATTGTACGTAGATGCACACTTCTTCACATGGAGTTGAAGTCTTGTAGAAACCAAACAGTTCACTCCCTTTTATCCTTCTCATTGCTTTGAAGCAGTTAGGTCAACTGTGTTGCCTCATCTAAGTGGTTCTGTGGTGTTGCCCGCAGTCCTCCCTTCCTCTCTGTGTGCAAGGCTGAGGCAGGAGGATCACTTGAAGCCTGGGTAGGTAACACAGCAAGATCCCACCTCAAAAAAAGAAAAAATATATATATATTTTTCAGTGGCTTTTTACAGTTTCTTTTTTTGTTTGTTTGTTTTGTTTTGTTTTTTGTTTTTTGAGACAGGTCTTGCTATATAGTTCAGGCTGTCCCTGAACTTACTATGTAGCCCAGGATGGCCTCAAATTTGCAGGAATCTCCTGTCTCAGCCTCCCAAATGCTGGGATTAGAGGTGTGTGCCACCACGCCCAGCTCTTATAGTCTCTCTGCCAGTACTACCATCAGGGCCATTCTTCTAAAATGTAGTTTGGATCATCATACTTTTTTCTCTATTTTCTTTCGTCTTCTTTCTTTCTTTTTTTTTTAGCCAGGGTCTCACTATGTAGCCCAGCCTGGCCTTGAACTGTCAGTGATCTTTCTGCCTTCTCCTCCTGAGTGCTGGGATCACAGGCATGTGCCATCTCACCAGGTGCTTCCCTTCTTAAAACTCTCCAATTGTTTCTATGAGCTACCAAGATAAGGTCCAGACTTCTTCCTCTTCATACAATGTTTCCACTGATCTCTACCTAAAAGTTCAATCTCATCTTTGGTGGTTGCTTCCTACACTATTCAGGCTAACCCCGATCCCATCCCCCTTCTCCATCTGACTAATATGTACTTGCACCCCTCCCCTCAGGAAAATAACCCTTTAGAACAAGTATTATTTTTTCTGTGACATTTTTCTGATTCCTTCAACCTCAACCAAAGGACACTGACCACTTCCTCCTTCCATCATGGCCTCCACAGTGCTCTGCCAGAGAGAAGTGTTTACACAGCTAGCTCCTTCTGAGGCTCCCTGTAGCTGGTTCGGACTCACTGTAGTAGTCTTAACAGTCTTCAGGGGCTCAGCAAATGATGGAATTTTAATACATACTTGATGAGCAGGTGAATGAACAATAAATGAATTTACATTATAACCTCATAAGCACTAAATCTATCTCAGAAAGAACTTTCTAACAGTCATTCTTGGTCACAGCTCTTGAGCAGCTGCTGCAGGGCACAGCGAGGGCAGGGGCAGGGCCACTCCTATTTAGAGCAAGGCCCCAAACTCTAGCCTGTCAAATTCTATCCTGTGTCCCTCTGAAAGTTCTGTGGCATTTGGTGACTCAGAGTCTGTTACAAGATCACTGAGTGCTCAGTAAAGAGGAACACTTCTGAAAATATAGTCCTGGGGTGAGGGGAATTCCTTCCTCAGAGAAAAAGAGTTGATTTCCTGCCAGTATAGTATATTATCAAGGAGAGAATAACTGGGAAAAAGCAGGTTATTGCCAAAGTCAATTAGCAAACTGTTGTTCAATGTCAGGCATTTAAATCTATTAACAAAGCTGGGTGTGGTGGCACATGCTTGTAATCCCAGCACTTGGAGGCTGAGGCAGGAGGATCATTGCAAGTTTGAGGCCAACCTGGGTTACAAAGTGAGCTCAGGGCCAGCCTGAGCTGCATAGCAAGATTGTCTCAAAAAGACAAAAAATATATATCTATTAACAATATCATGATGCTAGGCATACCACTTCCCTCTTGTGGTCTATGTTTTTAAATCTCCAAAACAAAACTATTAATTAGACTGGATGATCTTTAAGATTACTTGCAGCTCTATTATTTTATTATCTAAGCCTTATATAATATCAGTGTAACATGTTTGATACAGTAAAGAGTCAAGAATTATTAATGATGTTTTACAAATATGGAAACTGAGGGCAGCCTGAAAAAGAATTTGCATCAGACACATGAATTCTCGAGCTTTATTTCATTAGGCAATCAATATTTCCTGGCTCCCAGGAGGGTCTGAACTATCTTTCTCTTTAGAAAAGCTAGTTGGTCCTACTACCCCCTCTGCCCCCAAGGCCTGCAGAAGAAACAAAGGGCAGAGGATTGTTACGGAAAATATTAAAACACCACTGATTCCATTTCCACAGCCTACCTAGCCTGAAAGTAAGAAAACTCAGTGGCACTCAGACGGCCAGGGCTCTATCAGAGGCTAAGGGAGAAGAAGGAAAACAGATTAGAGGCTGCTGAGGATGCATTTCTGTGATCTGTGAGCTGCGTTTGGGGGGGCACTGATCCCTAGGGCATCGTGACAAGGTCAACCTCGTTTCTTCTCTCTGTTCTTGGCAACAGCTAGTCTAGCCAGAAAGAGCAATCTGTCAGATCTAATTAGAGTGGAAGAAAGTGAACAATGGGCGCCCAGCTCTGAGATGACAGCCCAGCCTAATGAGGTGGGGGAGCTTGAGAGAGATGTGTGCTTTGTGTGCTTGGAAATGGTTCTTTCCAATGGATCCTTCCTGAACTCAAACTGTAAAACATCTCTAACTGGATTCCTGTTTACTCCACCAGAACTCTCCAGGTCCCTGAACTTTTTAACTCATACACATCCAGCAAAAGCAGAGGAGAACCTGGCTCTGTTTCAAAGGTGAGAATATAATCAAAAATAGTTATATCATGTTGTGGCTTTAGACATGGTACAATGTACATGCAATTAATATCTATGAATTTGTCTGCCAATATTTCTTTTTATATAATTATATCTATAACATTAGTATTTATCTTACTATTTTTGCTATTCTTTTTAGTATAAGGCTTAAAATTGGATTCTTAAAATTTCAGAACAGCCTGAAATTTTGTTTAGGATAACAAATAAGCACATTTTAAGATATAAAAAAAATTGAATTACATTTGTGACTTATACTTTAAATGACCTCTCTGATTTGGATGTTCTAGTTCTTGCATCAAAAGTGGGTTTCACAGGGAAAAGATATATTTTATAAATTCAATTAAATAGAATATTCTTTAAAATAGGTATATAGATGCAGGCATCTAAGCCTAAAAACCATGCCTCTGCATAATCTAAAGTCTCAAATAAAGGAGTCTTGTTAGCAAATATTATATTGAAGATTAATGGTTTAAGAATTTAATTCTGAAAAAAAGAATGTAATACCTAAGTGTGGGACAGTCAGACATCTTAAAGGTGAGAGAAAAAAAGAATTCTGAGAAGTGGGAGGGAGGGAATGGGAAGAGATAAGCATGAGCACAATTTGTGATTTATAAGCAGCGGGTTGCCGAGGTTTGATGTTACTTTCTATCTGTTTTCTCATTGAATCCTCCCAGGATTCTGAAAAATATGTTACTATTCTCTCCATTCTGTAGATATAAAAATTGGCCCAAGGTTACAAAGAAATGCACAGTCAGGCCTTGAACTCACGTTCCCTGGTTTCAAATTTTGTGAATTTCTTGGGACCATATGTGTGGTACAGACAAGAGACATTAAATGTTTTTTTTTTTTTCCTCCGGTACCGGGAACCGAACTCATGACCTTGCGCTTGCCAGGCAGGCGCTTTTGCCGCTGAGCTAAATCCCCAGCGACATTAAATGTTTTAAAGCATTAAATTCATAATAATGTCAACACAAGGGTTTTCTAATCAGTGATTAATGTAGCCAGGAGATCTTTTATGGACATGAATGAGGTAGTACTTTTAGATTGGTGTATTTGTACCACTTTAGTGCTTTTTGAAAACCTTTTATTTTCTAACAGTATCACTGCTTTCTTTTCTATCTTTTATTTCTTTTCTTTTATATACCTATTTTATGAGTAAATTACCTTGTAAAATGATAAAGAAAATATCTCCCATTACCACCACCTCAACCCAGATCCAGTCTTCTTCCCAGAAAAACCTATTATCAAACTACTATCTGTGTTTGTATAGTGTATGTGTGTGTATTATTGCTTTGTATGACTTTTTAAAAAGTAAGCGTTGTCATTCTATACTTTTTGTTCTCATCTTGCTTTTCTTTTTTTTTTTTTTTTCTTTTGGTACCAGGAATCAAACTCAGGACCTTGTGCTTGCCAGGCAGGTGCTTGTGCCACTGAGCTATATCCCCAGCCCTTGCTTAAAACAAAACAAAACAAAACTCTACCTTATGGAGATCTTTTCCTGACACTAGTTTTAAATATAATTCTTTCTTCTGAACTGCATTTCACATAGCTCTAGCATTTCATGCACTGCCATTTCCACTGTTTTCTCTCTACCTATAATCCGTGCTTTCAAAGTCACTCAATGGCATAGCAGTCAGCATTTCACCGTATTTGTATCATGGGGCAGGTAGAGACAGGCACAGGTTCTGCAGCTGACTGGAGTGTTACTAACAACATACAAGAAAGGCAGGAAAAATAGCAAGGGCGCATTTCCAGCACCGTGAACGCGGGCGTGACGCCCAGGGCAAGCACAGCATTGTCTGTAGTAGACTTCTCTCTCTGTCTTCTAATATTGTAGCATTTGTTTTATTTTCTTTCTTTCTTTGTTTTTTTTTGTACTGGGACTCGAACTCAGGACCTTGCACTTGCCAGGCAAGCAGTGTGCTGTTATATCTCCAGCTCCTTATTTTTCTTCTTTGGAAAGGCCTATTCTACATCTACTCTTTATATAGAAGAGATAATAGAGCTGGGCGCAGTGATACAGGTCTGTAATCCCAGCTACTCATGAGGCCAAGGCAGGAGGATCAGACGTTCTAGTCCCACTAAAACAATTTACCAAAGTCTGTCTCAAAATTAAAAGGGTTAGGGTATATAGCTCAGTAGTAAAAGACCCCTGGGTTCAACACCTAGCACAAGCGGGGGTGGGGGTGGGGAGAGAGGGGGCGGAGGAAAACATTATCCAGCTGGCCCCTAGGAAGCAGCAGCAGGCCCAGGGAATTGAACTGTGTGGAATGTGCTTGTGTGCCCCCTTTCCTCTTTCCCTCTCTGCCTCCCGCATCAGACGCTGTGTCATGAGGTTCAAAGAAGGATGGTTAGTGAATGCCGCTCTGATGCCGTTAGTAGATGTTTCGGGGCTGCATTGCGTCTAACAGCACCGGAGACTGGCTGAAGGCTGGATTAGTTCCTATGTGATTACTGATAAATTGTATGACGTGTGTACTGTTTTGTCATATGTAAAAAAAGGTAGTACTAACAAGGAAAACTTGGCCTGTGGGGTGGGATGAGGTTTAAATGTCAAGTATGTAGCGTATTTCCGGTATATACTAATGCTGGCCGTTATCACTATCATTCAGATAAATTGCAACATCCTCACTGTGTAGTCGCCCGTTTATTGTTCCTTTAGTGGATGGGGGCGGGGAGGTGATGGAGCTTGAACTCATTACCTTCCTACTGAGCTACATCGCCACTCCTTTTTAAAAACATTTTTTATTTTGAGACGGGCTCTTGTTAAATTGCTAACTTACCAAGGTGGCTTGAATTTGCAGTCCTCCTGCTTTAGCCCCGCAGAGGGCTGGGATTACAGGCGTGCACCACCACACTTGGCTATTAGTGCATTTTTCTCAAAAATTTTTAAAGCAAGTGTTCCCTACCACGTTCAATATCCTGCTGAATATGCGTAATACTTCTAGATCGTGCAAACTTCTTACTCTCAAAGTGGTCACAATGTTTTAATTCAAGTACTTTAATACACAAGGAACGCCTTCTCATTTATTCTGTATCTAGCTTCAGAATTATTTTAGAAGCCTGCCTGGGCCTCACCTAGAGAGCTGGAGCCATTAGATCCTCTCTGCTTCAGAGATACTGCAGGGCTGGTTTCCCGGTCCAGACCCTTCCTCCCAAGGCCAGAGAGAAAAGACCGCCCAGGGCTGAATGAGGCGGCTGCCGCCCCACCGCCTAGGGCTGGCTTTCCTATGTGATTTAAAAATCACCTTCGTGGAAACACGAAGACATCTGCCATTTCCAATACAACATGAGCGGGTGCTGAGCAGCCAGATGAAATAAAAAATAAAATAAAAGGAATTATCTCTGCCCTGCGAAGAGACAGAAATTACCTTATTTTGGGAACAAATTCCTAGGAAATAAACCTAAAGTGTTTCCAAAATGTCCTCTTGGTCCTTCTCAGCTCAGTAAGCTTCCTCTGACCCACAGAACCCACTTTGTGTATGTGCGCGAACTCAGTCCAGCCAGCCCAAACTGGAACTGCAGCTGGACAGAAGCGGCCACTTCAGCTGTCCAGGGTGGAAGCCGGGTCAGGAAGCTGGGTTGGGCTGTGGTTTCCAGAATCACCCTGGCAGCAGAACGGCTGAGCTCAGGGAGTGGCAGGCCTGCGCCTGAGACAGGATCGCGGCACCGCAGTGCTGGCAAGGTTTGGTAACTCGGAATGCTTTTTTCTTTCTTTTAAAAGGGCTTGGTTAAAAATAAATAAATAAATAAAAAATAAATAAAGGGGCTTGTTTTAAACATTCTCTGGAGAAAAATACCATTTAACACGTAAAAAGGTGAGATTTCTCAGACAGCCCCCCCTTTTTTTTAACCGCTAAAGAGTTTTCTTAGCAGACAAACCTGCTCATTAAATCATACCTCTAAGAATGGATTCTTAAATGTAAGGTTATCAGGTGTAATTGTTGGACTAAGTACAATTCAAAACACTATGTACCACCTCTTTCTAAAGGTGATTTTTAAATTTTATTTTGATAAGGAGGGGCACATTTCTAATTTTTTTTTTTAAATGGAAACCCAGAATAATCAATTAAAAGACTGATGTGTGAAGCCGGGCATGGCGGCACACGCTTGTAATCCCAGCACTTGGGTGTTCGAGGCCAGTCCGGGCATTAAGGCCAGCCTAAAATACATAGTGAGACCCTGTCTCAAAAAAAAAAAGATTGAAGTGTAGCTCACTGGTAGACAGGATGTGCAAGGACCTGTGTTTGATGTGCAGCTCACAGAAACAAAACAAACAAAAAAAATCTTAAGAGAATATTAGAATTCTAAAATTAGTTAGACCTTCCATTTCACAGAGTTCAAGGCTCCAAAAATAAACTGTCCAAATCAGTATCGGTGATTAATTTATTTTGCCTCCCGCCGCAGAAGTGGAGCAGCTGGTGTGTGAGACTCTAGAGCCCATTTTCCAAGACAGAACAAAGGGGAAGCGGGCGCCCCTCCCCCTAGAGGCACGCTGTGTGCCCGGGGGCCGACTCCCTTCCGAGACTGCTGCCGGGGAGGCCCTGAGCTGTGTCCTTGGGATTGGCTTAGCAACGCTCAGTTCCGCAGTCCGGGGGAGGAGGGGAGCTGGGCTAGTGCACAGTATTACTATTATCAGCTGCCCGCTAGTGTATCCTCCCCCGGAAGGCCGCGTTTATAATACAGTAACACTTAGAGAGGCATTCCTGTCCTTGTTTCTCTGCAGATAAAAATCATGCATCTTCCTGTATCCAGCCCCGGATTTACTAAAAGTTACTATATACCCACGGGTTTCTTTTATGCTGCCCTTCAAATACTGAGCTCTCAGGGCTCACCTGGTTGGATCCAGACTGTGAGAGCTACAGCTCAAGCGGTCACATACAAGGCCTGGGAGTCGGCCTTCCTTCTCACCCAGTCCCAGTGTGGGTGTTTCTGGTACTACTGGATGAGAGTCCTGTTTTGAACCACAGCTTATAATTAATGTCTACAGCCCTGCTCTGATGGCAGGTGGGAGTCTGTATCAAACAGAAGCTGGTAAATAGCATGACTTCCGGCCAAGTGTCCATCTAGGCAATTGTCCATCTATAGATCTTTACTCTCTTACTGGAAGAAGACGGGGGTGTAGGGTTCTTACACTGAAAGCGATGCAGCCCTGCAAGGGAAGCAGACTGGGTTATTCCGCAGTCCTCTGGACAAGGTGAAAGGCGGGGCTCTGACAGCGCCTGCTCGCGAAGGGCACCCAGCAGGGAGGGAAGGTGCAGTTTGACGTCATCCTGCGGGTTACAGCCCCGGCAGCCAGGCCGCCTGCGGAGCAGCAGCACACGCTGCCACCCTGCTGTGGGCTGCAGCCATAGGGGGAGACAGGTGGTGCCACGTTCTCCCCCAGTGGGTGACGGTGACGTGTTCCGAGCAGAGGGGCGCAGAGGCGCCTGTCAAATGAGGGAAGAGAGGGAAGTGGGGAGAGGAAGGACTCCAGAGAAGGCACGCAACAACCGTGGGAGAGAAATGGGGGCGGAAACAGTCACACCCACCTCGGATCTCAACCCCTCCCCGCCTGACACCGCCCCTTCTCGCAGTGTGGCTCATAACCGCTTTTTCGTGTCTTGTAAACCTCGCTAAAGCAAGAACAGACGAAAGCCTATTCGCACAGGTTCTATTTTTCATCCTTACCCAGGACTGTCCAAAACAAAGATGCCCTGAAAGTCAAACCCACCCTTCTTAGCTTCAGGAAGCGTTAACCGTGACACCCGCCGAATCACCGCCGACAGAACTCCCGCAGGCCTCTCGCTCGCCGCGCCCGAACCCCGGCCCCGCCAGCTCCAGCCCCGCGGGTTCCGGCGGGAGGGTCGGCCGCG